CCTATAAATTTAATACTATTCCAAAGTAAAAGGTTTATTAAAATTAAAAGAAAAATTTTTGAAGCCACCATATTTTATGACTTTTGAGAGCCACTATACCGGATGTTAGAAGTCAATAAAAACCAGCAAGTTTTAAAAACCAGGATTCTGGGCAAAGGGCCTGAAAAGACATTATTCTAAAGAAGACATACAAATGGCCAAGAGTTATATGGAAATGTGCTTAACGTCCTAATCATCAGGGAAATACAAACCAAAACCACCATGAAATATCACTTCATACCTGTTAGGATGGCCATTATAAAAAAGACAAGAGACAAGTATTGACAAGGATTGAGCACTGTTGTAAATTGGTACAGCCACTAAGGAAAACAGTATAGAGGTTGCTCAAGAAAGCTAAAACTAAACTAAAACTATTATGAGACCCTGCCAGCCCTTTTTCGGTTATTCACCCACGGAAAATTAAGTCAGTACCTCGAAGAGGTATCTGTCTCCCATTTCATGGCAGCATTATTCCCAAGAGCAAAATATGGAAATAACCAGGTGTCCATATATATATATATATATTAGCAACCTGGGTGAACTTGAGGGCATTGTGCTAAGGGAAATAAGACAGGCACAGAAAGAAAAAAGCTGCATGATCTCACTTATGTGTGGAATCTAAAAAAGTCAAATACAGAGAGGCCAAGAGTAGAACACTGGTTACCAGGGTGGGGAGGTGGAGAAAACAGGGAAATACTGGTCAAGGGATACAAAGTTGGAGTTATGTAGGATGAATAAGTCTAGAGATCTAATGTACAGAATTATTACAGTTAACAATACTATACTGAAGTCTGGAAATTTGCTAAGGGGGTGGATTTCAGGTACACCACAAAAAAAATAAAAATAAGAGAAAAAACTGTGAGAAGATAGATATGTTAATTAGCTTGACTACAGTAATCATTTCATATGTATATGTATAGCAAATCATCATGTTGTACATCTTAAATATATACAATTTTTACTTTAAAAATAAATTTAAAAAAAATAATTAGGATTCAGTTGGGTGAAGAGAATTTCCTTATACGAATGAATGGGGGGGGGGGGGGAGGAGCGGGGACATGTATTAAAAATAAGGAAAAACTGCCGAAACCGGTTTGGCTCAATGGATAGAGCGTCGGCTTGAGGACTGAAGGGTCCCGGGTTCGATTCCGGTCAAGGACATGTACCTTGGTTGCGAGCATGTCCCCACTAGGAGGTGTGCAGGAGGCAGCTGATCGATGACTCTCTCTCTCATTGATGTTTCTAACTCTCTATCTCTCTCCCTTCCTATCTGTACAAAATCAATAAAATATATTAAAAAAAAATAAAATAAGGAAAAACTAATAGGGCACTGATTAGGATATGGAAAAATTAAGATAGCCACAGAAGGAATAGTGAGTGCAATATGGCAGAAACAAGTGTGAAGATGAGCAAGACTATTAGTAATCCATCACAAAGTCATCTCCTCCCAAAGACAACCATGATCTTCAGAGATGGGCCTCATAATGGACAGCATGGGCCACATTCTACACTGACATGTATTCTCCATGGGGCTATAGCATTTACAGAACAGTGGTTACACTTGTAAACCTAACAAACCTAAAACCTATAAACAGTCCAAAAGGAAAAGACTAGAACAAAATCTGAAAATTCTTTTTTTTTATTAATATATTTTTACTGATTTTAGAAAGAACAGGAGAGGGAGAGATGAGAGAGAATCACTAACCGGCTGCCTCCTGCATGCCCCACACTGAGGATGGAGCCTGCAACCCAGGCATGTGCCCTTCACTGGAATCGAACCCAGATCCCTTCAGTCTACAGGCCAACATTCTATCCACTGAGAATTCTGACATAATAATGAAAAGTCAAGTTTTACCAAAAAACAAAATAAGTTAATCACTATTCACTGACTTACTTGAATGGAGATATGTTCATAGACATAATCCGCAAATGCATGCATAAACCATTATTTGCTTATTCAATAATCTATTGTTCGGGCCCGGGGGAGCAGCCGGGGCGGGTGCGGCCAGGCCCGGAGCAGTGGCTGCCAGGCTGGGAGCGGCCAGGCCCGGGGGCGCAGCCGGGGCAGGTGCAGCCAGGCCCGGAGCAGCAGCTGCCAGGCTGGGAGCGGCCAGGCCCGAAGCAGCAGCAGCCAAGTCCAGAGCAACTAGGTCGGGAGCAGCAGTGACCAGACCCGGAGCAGCTGGTTGTGGAATGAACCAGAGCAACAGAGGCCAGGCCCTGAGCAGCCAGGCCTGGAACAGCTCACTCCTCGCCTGCCCCCACCCCAAGGCTGCCTCTCAGACATGGCTGGAAACTTTCACGGGAACTTGAGGGTCTGCTGAATCAAGTGATGAAGGCTTAGATGTGGATGTGTTGAGTTAGTATAGGGCTGGGGTGTTGATCTGTGATTGCCTTGGGTGGGGCCTGGATGAGGCTAGTTGACCTATTGGGAAATGTCTTTTGTGTGAAGTGTATCATTGGGCATGTGGAGGTATTATTGATATGAGAAAATGCTAAGTAACTGATTTACTATCTGAAAAGGGATTTACTATCGGGGAAAAGGAGGGAGGAAGAGACTGAACGTAAACTGTGCACCTATGGATGAGGACAATGGGGGATGGGGAGGGGGCGAAGGGTGGGGTGGGAACCTGGTGGAGCGGGGAAGAAATGAGGAACCTTTGTAATAATATGAACAATAAAGATTGATTTAAAAAAAAATCCTAAAAAATAATAATAAAAATTAAAAAAATAAGTAATAAAAAAAAAAAGAATCTATTGTTCCTATCTAATAGACCATCACTCCAAGACACAAGACGGCTGCCCCCATGTGAACACAAGATGGCCTGCAGGGGAGGGTAGTTGTGGGCAGTTAGGGGTGACCAGGGCAGCAGAGGAGGGCAGTTGGGAGAGACCCAGGCCTGCAGGGGAGGGAAGTTAAGGGGAACCAGTCCTGGAGGGGAGGGTACTTTTGGGTGATCAGGCAAGCAGGAAGGGCAGTTAGGGGCGACCAGGCCAGCAGGGAGGGCAGTTAGGTGTGACTGGGCCAGCAGGGGGAGGCAGTATGGGGTGACCAGTTCTGCAGAGGAAGACAGTTAAGGGTGACTGGCAGGGGAGGGCAGTTAGGAGCAATCAGGCCGGCCAGGGAACAGTTAGGCATCGATCAGGCTGGCAGGGGAGTGGTTAGGCTGGCAGGCAGAAGCAGTTAGGGGCAATCCGGCAGAGGCAGGCGAGCGGTTGGGAGCCAGCAATTCTCACAGAAGGATGTTGGACATCCCTCAAGGGGTCCCAGATTAGAGTGGGTGCAGACTGGGCTGAGGGACATCCCCCTCCCCATGCACAAATTTTGTGCACCGATCCTAGAATATATATATAAAAGGCTAAGATGTAAAGTATCCCCTCGGAAGTTCAAATGTGAGACCAGGAGTTCTATTACTCACTACGATGTGCACTGACCACCAGGGGCAGCATGGAATATGGTAGGCAAACAGCAGTGCCCCCGTTGAGGGAGTGAGGAAAGGAGGAAGCAGGGAGGCAGGGAACCTGATCAGCCCTGGTCACTAGCCAAGTCAAAGACCTACCCATCGGGCCTGTAGTATTAGACATGAGAAGGCAAGGCAAGAAAAGAGTATTTGAATAGCAACTAAAAGAAATTGTATCATCTTTCTAAAAGCAAAAAGGAAGACTGCACTGAAAATGTATCACTGATTAAAAGCTCAGAACCGTGGAGAGTTGGGGGTTAATATCTAAAGATTAGAAAAATAAAGCAATGTTGCTTCCAGAAGGGAAAAATAGCCAAAAGATTTATGGAAGTGCAATCTACTTAAATATTTTGGCGGGAGGATAGAGAAACCATAAACATGGCTTTCAACTGGACAATACTGGATCTTTTTTTTTTTTTTTTAATATATTTTATTGATTTTTTACAGAGAGAAAGGGAGAGGGATAAAGAGCTAGAAACATAGATGAAAGAGAAACATCGACCAGCTGCCTCCTGCACGCCCCCTACCGGGGATGTGCCCGCAATCAATGTGCATGCCCTTGACCAGAATCAAACCTGGGACCTTTCAGTCCGCTGGCCAATGCTCTATCCATTGAGCCAGACCAGTTTCAGCGACAATGTTGGATCTTAACCCAACACACTCCAGCTGAAGGTATAAGCGGTGATAAATACTACAGTTCCAATTAGAAACCTGGTTTTGCCACCTAGAGATGGCTTCCATTTCCCCACCTCCCTCATCAGCAAAAAAAATACACACTCAAGCAGCCCAATGGCTTTCTTACCTGCTAATCTATGCTAATCACTGGGTCAGGTCACTAGAGCACATTCAATCAACAACACACCCAATTAAAAAACAGTTTTAAAAAATTACCAATTTGTAAAAAACCAAGCCTTTTTATTTTGTTGACAATAAATCAGATCTTTGTTTTTAATGAAGTTAGTTTGCATTAGTTCATTACAAAGTGATACATGAATGAATCCATTCTATAGATTATAGATTTTACATGCTCGTGAGCAAACACAAAAATGTTAGAGGGAAGCAAATGAAAATGCGAGGCATCTATGGTTTTCATGCAGGCTTGGCCATTAGCAGAGCAACCTGGGCACTTTGCCTAATCTCGGAATCTTTTTTTCTAACCTGTGAACGGAATACCAGGCCCACTTTTCCTCTGGAAGAAAACTCTATTGAAGCAAGTTGCCATCTTCAAACTCCATCTCTCTAACTTACTGAGGGATTATTTCTAAAGACCACATCAACCGGAGTTTGATAAGTGACCCAGTTCTGTGCAAACAACTTGAAAGCAGAATTTTACTCAGACAGCTGCACTACACCATCAGCTGTTCCTATCCGGTAGATAATTAGAGCCCTTATTGTTATAGTTTATAACAGCTTCTGTGGGCCACAATAATTTCAGATCATTTTCACATGTTTCTTAATCCCAACCCCCCCCAGAACTGAAGGAACCACAGCTCTACTTACAGTTACGAATGTTATTCCAGTCGATTTTTGAGAAAAAAGGATGACAACAAAGGCCTTCAAACTTCAGTCTCTCTTTCTGGCCACACAACAAGCTTTGAATCAGATCCAGTAATTCACTGCTAACTTTGGGGTCATCTGGAAACTTCAAAAACCGCTATTCCAAAAAATAAAATAATTTCCTTAGCAAATTAAGCTTTCTATGGCCCAATATTAAGAAAGTACTTCTCCTATATGCAAGCTTCTTTTTCTTTTATTAAAAAAGGAAGTTTTGTGCCCTCTTCTCTTTGAACCAAAGGTAAGCTCCCAAAATAAATGTCCTGTTCCTAGGAACAGGCCTCGTTTCTTCGCAAGGGCTCAATACTTTTCATTACTTGACCCCTGCCCCTCCCATTCATCTAGCGCCACTCCCCACCTCCCTCTTGGCTGTCCAACAGTGTTGAGCTATTTAAAGCTGCCCGGACAAATCATGCTGTTCTGTCTGCCTAGAAAACCCTGCCCACTCTGGGCCCTTCTTCCTTGCCTGCTTTTCCCACCCAACACTCCCTCCTGAACTCTCCCTCTGTATTCCGCTTCTGCACACACACACACACACATGTATTCTGATTTCTGTGTGACGATGGAGGAAGAAGGCAGAGAATCTTCTCCCTGCTCATCACTGTAAATCTGGTACCTCAATGTAGTGAGTGTGAACTGCTCCTTGCTGAATGGTGGGCTGAAATGAGGGGAATAAATCAGCCCAAGAATCATCTAAGTGGAAACTTTAACTCAAGAGGAGACTCAAGAATAACAAATAACTATGCATGTTTTAAGCATATAAAATATGTATTATACATATAAAAATATGTATTAAGTATTCCAGAAAGATGAAATTGGGTGAGATACCAAAACCTGTTAAAACACTTCTCTTTTTCCTTTTGGTTGAAACTAAAACATTTATATTTGTCATATCTTTAAGAAATGGGCTTACTATAGTGAATAGTCAGTTATTAGAAAATAGTTTTAAATTCTACTTTATATACATTACTGTATTTGATTCATGCCCTCAATCACATTCAATAGCTAATAGTAATAAGAAGCCACATATAGCATGACATCAAGAGCATAGACTACAAAGCCAGACTGACTGTGTTATTTTGGACAAGTTACTTAACTAGTCTGTGCTTTTGTTTCCTCATCTGTTACATAAAAATAATATCTACCTCACAGGGTTGTTGGAGAATTTGCCAAGTTAATAAACTATATTTCATCAATTCTAAGACTCACATTTATTCACATTTAACAACACTGAAATCAAAATGCATCTTATACTTAAATATCATAGATTAACTGGCTGCAGTTTTTCTTTTTTAATGGTACACAAAATAATGACATAAGCTTACAATTAATTACTGGCAGCTAAAAGCCAATAGACTACAAGTAACAAAGTGTTTAGAACAGCTTTTGGCATAAAGTAAGTGCTATATAAGTATTTGCTATGTTATTAATCAGTATTGCTGGCTTACATTACAAATGCTCATTCCACAATTTTTAACATTTCTTACTATTATTTCAAATCTAATAATAGCTCCTTACCTGGAAATTCATGATGTTATTAAAGGTTCTGGCCGAAGTTCCCTCAGTGAATGGAGACCTTCCATACACCATCTCATAAGCAATAACTCCCACTGACCACCAGTCACAGTCGAGGCTATAGACACCTTTTCCATCCCCATTCATCACTGTCAACACTTCTGGGGCCATGTAATCTGGGGTCCCAATCGGGAGTTTGGCATTCACCTGGAAACCCATAAATAAAATGAACACAACAAGCTTTCAATTATCCTCAAATATATTGCGAACAGCCACATTTCAGACACAAGCTGATTTGCCACTGATTACTCTTCTTCCAGGTACTTAAACCTTCTGTCAAGTGGCACACTGTCAGGAAATGCAAATGACTTACTAGTTTTTTTTAAGCATATAGTATAATCCAAAAGAAAAGGGCAAAGAGCTGTTGATATATACTCTTTGGTTACACAATGAGAGGGGAGTATATCCATGAAGTGGAAGATAGCTTTTTTGGTATGTTATGAATATGACAGAACTTTTCTTACTTATGAAACAGCAAAGTGATAATAAATCCTAAAAATTAATCTATAAGATCAATCTACCCGTTACTGAGACACTGGCAGCTAGTTGGCAACACAATATTACAAACATGTTATATGTCAATTTTAAATATTTGGAATCAAAATTTTCACTTTGACCCATCCACCAGGCCAAAGATATGAAAATTTGCACAAGAGGTCAAATGTTACTGAGTTCACTTTCCTCATCCCCAACTCCTCCTGCTTCTTGTTCCCTCAACACTGTTCAGAAACCAGGGCCCTCCAATCCAATGGCCCAACCTTGGCAACAAAAGATTAGGACGATGTAGCATGTCTTTTTATAAAGCTAAATATTTTCCATTTAAAGAACTGTCCTTTCTGTTTCTGAGAATTTGTCCTTCTGGCTGTTTTGGTGTTTAAATGTCCTTTGTTTCTTGAAATGATGCTCATGACAGAAGTAGGCTTTCTGCCCCTTTGGAGGCAACTTAATAAGTCAGCAACAGCCCTTTTGGTCTTCAAAATTGTTTTGAAGTTTTATTGCACCATGAAATTTGAAGTCTAAGGATCACCTCTCTAACCTTCTTCCCCATAAACCAGAGAGGGCCTGGTGTTAATCGTATACTCTGCTGACCAGTTGTCCAATAACCCTACATCTAAAAAGGTTTCTCTCACATCAGCAGTTACATGGCACAAAAGAACTTTCTCCCCATTAAAGGATGTTAAGTGCCCCTCTGTGAGCCAAGATTTTATGGGTAAGGCCACATGTCTTTAATGCTGGGCTTTATATCAAGAAAGTAAATTAGCTTTGATTGGGAATTGAGAGGAAAGCGAATGTTTAGAGGACTCTAGGAGGTCTCCTTTCCCCAGTGATGAAGACTCAAAGCTCTTCCAACTGTAAGTTTAATTTTGTCCATTCCTCTGACCCAGAGGCCCAGTGTGATAGGAAATGGACTCATTTTCCATACTAGCCCTCCTCGTGCCCCCTTGCCTCAGGCCCATCATGTTTTCCCAAACTGTAAACCAGAAAGCAGTGTGATGCTGTTACTCTTGACACTAGGGTCATCAGGATCTCCATTTGGGAAAGCTACATGGCCACACTCCCAAGAAACCCTTGGACCTGTGTTACTGGACAAAAGTAAAAAGAGCCGAAACCGGTTTGGCTCAGTGGATAGAGCATCAGCCTGCAGACTGAAAGGTCCCAGGTTCGATTCCGGTCAAGGGCATGTACCTTGGTTGTGGGCACATTTCCAGTGGGGGGTGTACAAGAGGCAGCTGATCAATGATTCTTTCTCATGGATGTTTCTCTCTATCCCTCTCTCTTTCTCTCTGTAAAAAAAATCAATATATATTTTTTAAAGTGAAGAGAAAGGAGGAAACATATGATCTAAGACAGCACACCCTAAGCCTGAGGAACTGAAAGTAGCTTACATCAAGAGGAAGCCTTGACGCTGGGAAGCCTGAGCCCAGACTTCTATGTTTTAATGTGTGTGAACATGTTAATGAGCTCAACACAAGTTAGGATTAAATTGCAGGATTCTGGTAAATCCATCAATACTGACAATGAGGAATACCTTTTAAATATCAAAATAAAATAAACACTATAATACCTTGATTTACCCAGGTGTTAGTAAGGCCACTGTATCGTTGATTAAATACCTAATTATCTTGCAGAACATTAATACACAATCCTCAAATGTACATCATCTGCATATATTAGGTTTTATTTTATCATCACACTGGGTTGTTTGACAATATTCAGTTTTCCCTGTTTGTACCTCACGTGGCTTGGCTACTTGTCCACAACCAAAGAGTTGAAAGTCAAGTTGGAACTTGACAAGGTCATGTGTATCAGCATGATCCAGCAAAGGGTATAAATTGCCAATGCCTCATTTTCAAACTCATTAGACTCATCAAAGAGAGTCAGCTAACTCCCCAAATAATGTGATCATAGGCATCTGTCTCATCCATTTGTAAATTTTCTAAATTTTAAAGAAAAATACTCCTTTGCTTGCTTTTTGTATATGTCCTACTAATTAACAGACTGTTAATAGCCATTAATGATTACTAAGTTTCCATTAGCTATTGACCTCCAAGAATACTAAACTTGTTCGACATGTCACCTCACACATCTTGATAAAGTTTTTGCAAGATACTTTCATTCTCCTCTGGGGGCAATTCATGGCCAGCTAATGTGAGTGAGATATCAAAAAGGGAATCATGTACTATAAGTCCAGTCCAACACTCCATCTGACCAGGCCCCCATTTTGTGAAGTTTCTTTCATTTTCACTATATTGATAGAGAAGAAAATTTACCAGTTCAGAAGGAGATGAGAAGAAAATTACTAAAAGAAAGAAGGGTCAGTCATATTTAGAGAAATAGAGGGTTTTAAAAAAAGAAAGAAAAGGATTAATCTAGCAGGTTCTTTTATAAGCAGAAAAAAGACAAGAAAAAGGTAAGAAAAATCACTGTCTTCCTCTTCCCAAGCCCCTTCCCACAAAAATGCTTACACTATATAAAACTGCTTCAGCCTACCTTTCCCCATTTCACTGCCCAGAGTGTAAACATACTTCTACAGAAGCAGGGGGCTAAGAAATTCTCACTCCAACATAAATCTCAAAAATGGCTATATCCTATGGGTTTCCAACTGATCAATGGGGCTGATTTATAATCTTTATAATCTTCTTATAATTTTTTTTCTGAGCTGACACCGGTTAAAAATGTTAGCTGTTGACCATTCTTTGAGATTCTTTTTTTAAAAATATATTTTATTGATTTTACACAGAGAGGAATTGAGAGGGATAGAGTTAGAAACATCGATAAGAGAGAAACATCGACCAGCTGCCTCTTGCACACCCCCCACTGGGGATGTGCCCGCAACCAAGGTATGTGCCATTGACCGGAATCGAACCTGGGACCTTTCAGTCCGTAGGCCGACTCTCTATCCACTGAGCCAAACCGGTTTCAGCCATTCTTTGAGATTCTAATAAATGAAGTGGTGACCTAAGTCACATAGCACGTCACTGGCACATCCTAGAACACCCAAATCTCCAGGCAGTAAGGTCCACCTGTACTTACTAAGAAAAATACTCCAAAGAAATATTCTAAGAAGCTTGAAATAAAGACAATGGAAGATAGAAAACACAACAGATTTAAGATTCACAAATATCCAAAACATATAAACAATATTTGTGAATGAGAAGGGATTAATTGACTTGGGATAACACAATAATTTCAGTCAATGTAGATTCAATTTTATATAGTGTATTTTGAGTACCAATATCATTTAGAACCAACTTAATGGCTATAAAACATTATATTTAAATGTTTTTTTATTTGAGAAATATCCAAAATGCTATTTATGTAATCATTGGTTGCTTCTTGTATGTGTCTTGACCAGAGGTCAAACCCACAAACTTGGTGTATCAGGACAACACTCTAACCAACTGAGCTACCTGGCCAGAACCATAAAATATTCTATTTAGTGGAAACACATTTCTAACCTACCTCCATTGATTTAAAAAAAAAAAAAAAAAAATTAGCCGAAACCGGTTTGGCTCAGTGGATAGAGCATCGGCCTGCAGACTGAAAGGTCCCAGGTTCGATTCCTGTCAAGGGCATGTACCATGGTTGTGGGCACATCCCCAGTAGGGGGTGTGCAAGAGGCAGCTGATTGATGTCTCTCTCTCATCAATGTTTCTAACTCTCTATCCCTCTCTCCTTCCTCTCTGTAAAAAATCAATAAAATATATATTTTTAAAAAAGAAAAAAAAAATTATAATTCTACTAGAAGTCCAGTGCACAAAATTTGTTCACTCGAGGCGTGTGGGTCCCTCAGCTGGGCCTACGCCCTCTCATATTCGGTCGGGAGCTCTCAGGGGATGTCCGATGGACATCCTCAGTACTGCCATGAAGGTGGGAGACCTCCCACCATCACACTGCACTCACCAGCTGTGAACCTGGCTCAGGGCTTCTGACTGAGCAGCGCTGCCCCTGTGGGAGAGCCCTGACCACCATGGGGCAGCCCCTGCATTGAGCATCTGCCCCCTAGTGGTCAGTGTGCATCATGGTGACTGGTTGTTCTGCCATTCAGTCAATTTGCACATTAGCCTTTTATTATTCAGGAGGATATCCATACTTGATCTATCTAGTAGATTGCAAATACTTGGTCTTCTATAATAAAAGGGCCTTTGCCCTTAAAACAATGCTAAAAACCTCTACTTCTCTGGTTGTCACATTCTCAGCCCTAAAAGTAGGACATTCTAGAGAAATTGATCTGTCTCCACAAGGAGGGGAGGTACAATACTCTTGTGTGTACAGGACTGAGAACCACATCTCCTTGACCAAAATAATCCAGGGTTAAGCTCATTGAGCTGCAAATAAAAGGCAGTGCCTCTGGGAGGCTCCCTCCCTGGAGTGAAGGTGCTACAATTAGAAGTGAAAAGGGCAGTTTGAAGCACTGAAAAACAGAAATCGGAAATGAATAGGAGTCCTGTCTCTGCCGCAAGGGGTCTGAAGAGAGTGACTCCAGATGCAGAGATAGGGCCTTAGTCCTGATTCCCATTTGTTTAGCAAGTAGTGACACTGGATCTTAGCCTAGCATTCTAAGCAGATTTATTGCAAACACATTGTTGCTAGCTCTCATTAACTAGATTTCAGATGCTTCTCAATGATTCTCAACCTGGGGTGATTTTGCCTCTCAGGGGACATGTGGAAAACAGTATGGCTTTTTCTCAAAAATTAAAATGCCTGGAGACATTTTTGTTTGATTATTGCAATTGGAGGGGAAGGTACTATTGGCATCTACTGCAGCTAAACATCCTGTTCCCCACAGTACAGCCCACAACAAAGGATTCTCTAGACCAAAATGTCAGTGGTGCTGACCTATGCTTCAATGATCAGATTATGTACCAATGGCCCAATTTATTTCTTAGATGCAAAAGTTTTTGTTAAGTTTTTTTAATCTTAGGTGGTAAGACTTTTGCTGTATTTAACTTTTTTTTCAGAACTTTATTCCACCATAAATTCAACACCTAAGTTTTCATGCCTGTTTTGGAATTGCATATAATTTTAAAAACAAAGTGCTTTGGTTCTATAATCTAATTCTTAAAGTAATGGTCAAGTGGAATAGATTATAAAACATAATTTGATATAAATACCCACCTTTCCTTCAAGAAATTTGAGAAAGATAACTTTACATATTTCCCTTTACAGAAAGAACTTAACTCACAGCTGGGGGCATTTCGAAGAACAGCTTCTCTAACCTCTTAATTTGTGCATTTTTACTAAAATCAGTATTTTCTGGAGAAAGAATAAAAGGCCAAACTCATAAGGACTTATCTAGGTCACTGAGTGGTTCAGTTGTGAAATGAGTCTTAAAACCTAAGTCGATTTTCTCTTAGACTTATCATTTGTTGCATAATTGACTTCCAAATTCACATTTTAATATGTATTAACTTTATTAGATTTTTAATCTTTTTTTTTTTTTTTTTTTTTTTTACTTTGTCATTTTTTCCTAAGATATTCTCACTCTGGCTCTCAATAGCTGCCCTTCTGCCTTACTATTTAGCACATGGGATATATTTTAATTTTTACCACAGTTCCAGGACTCAGGATTAACATTTTGAGCACTTAGTTCTTAACGCCTAGGATATTTTGGTTCAATTGCTCTGATGATTAACTTTAATTGTGCTGCATGGAAAATAGAGGATTTGAAATAAAGAAGATTATGTTTCAACAAATATTTTAAGGTTAAAAAAAAAACCATAATGTAAAAGAAGACAGTCTCTACCAGGCAAAGAAAATGAAGGGAAAACGAAATGAATATTTTTCTCTCTTTTAAACCAAACTATAAGAATGTTCCTAGCCGAAACTGATTTGGCTCAGTGGGTAGAGCATCGGCTTGCAGACTAAAAGGTCCCAGGTTTGATTCTGGTCAAGGGCATGTACCTTGGTTGCGGGCACATCCCCAGTGGGGGATGTAAGGAAGCAGCTGATTGATGTTTCTCTCTCATCGATGTTTCTAACTTTCTATCCCTCTCCCTTCCTCTCTGTGAAAAGTTAATTTAAAAAAAAATTTTTTTTAAATGTTCCTAAAAATGTCTTATAGGGTATGAACAAGTATTATACATAACAGGGTGCAAGGTCAAGTAAGTCTGGGAAAGAACTCTGTGTCCCCATCCCCATTCTCATCCCCCTTAAGAAGTCATTTCACATGCCGGCAGAAAAAGGCTCCAAAATGTCACTCAGCTTTATCCCAGTATTTTCCCAACTTATAAGGATCACAGAATGTTTTTCAGTACAACCTCTATTAAGCTAACTTATTGCATTTTGTTACCATCTTATTTGAGTTCATTTTAGCAGCTGATCCAAAATCCACCAGCTTGATGTGTCCTGTCCGATCAATGAGAATATTCTCAGGCTTGAGGTCTCTGTAAGAAAATCAGGCCACAAATTAGTGTTGTCTTCTCCATGCCAATCAGCAAGCATCTGCTCACCTAGGACATTGATTCAGTCAAGAATCTTAGTGTCTGCTGTGGAAAACAGTAGGGCATTTCCTCAGAAAATTAAAAACAAAACTCCCATTTGACCCAGTGACCCCACTTTTAGGAATAAACCCCAATAAATTAGAAACACCCATCAGCATTAAAGGGAGGATCCAGGATGGCTGCACAGATAAACACCTAACCACAGCCGCACACAACAATTTCAATAAAATACAACTAAAATATAAAATGGACATTGCCCAGAGCTACAGGAAGTCGACTGACTGAAAATTCTACAACAAGATGGAAAGAGAAAATCAGAAGGATAATCAGAGGAGCTGTGGGGGCCTAAGGTACGGAGACATGCTGCGCGCGTGGAGAGGACGGAGCCGGAGAGGATGTGGAGGCTGAGTACCTGGCTGGCGTTCCCTAGCAGGAAGGAAATAAAAGCCCAGGACTGGGCTGAACCCCAGACCTGACAGCACTGAACCCCAGTTCTAGGCAGAGGATGGAATGTTGATTCTGATGCTAGACTGCCCTAGCAGGAAGGAAACAAAAGCTCCAGCTGTGCTGAGCCCCAGTTCCAACTGCTCTGAACCTCAGTTCTAGGCCAGAACCTGGGGACCTAGGCTTAAAGAGAGGGAGCCTGGGCTGTGAGGCGGAATCCCAGGGGAGCGGCAAAAGGCAGAGCCCCTGGAGTCACGCACATTGTGCACAGAGGACGGAATGTTGACTCTGATGCTTGACTGCCCTAGCGGGAAGGAGACAAAAGGTCTAGACTGGGAAGAACTCGATGAGGAGCGGGCGCCAGCAAGCCGGGTGCCGGCAAGGAGCCAGGCAAAGGGCCCCAGGGGAGGAGGTGCTGCTGGGCCCTCGACCACTGATCGTGGCCACGGAGCTGAGGCCAGTGGCTGCTTCCTGGGCGGCGCCAAACCCGGCAACAGGCTGAAGCCACGCAGGAGGTTACGGAGAGCAAAGGGGCGCCACAGGCCAGCCTACTGAGCTTCCAGGAGGAGTAGGAAGAAATCGAAGAAGTTTTCAAGGTGAAGAAATCAAGTTATAGCAAAAGATAGTAAAATTACTTAAGAAAGAATACAAAGAAGATCTTGAAAAATCAAAGAACTCAACTCAGCAGCCAACATTGCAACATGAATACGTTTAAAAAAAAACAAAAACAAAAAAAAGACAGAATGTTGGAGCGGCGGTGGTCAGGCCCAGAGTGGCCAGGCCCAGGGCAGTGGCAGCCGGGACCGGAGCAGCAGCAGCCAGGTCCCGGAACAGCCAGGCCTGGGGCAGTGGCAGCCAGGCCTGGGGCGGAGGCAGCCAAGCCCAGGGCAGCCAGGCCCTGGAGCAGCCAGACCTGGAGTAGCCAAGCCCAGAGCAGCTGGGTCGGGAGCAGCCAAGCCTGGAGCAGCAGCAGCCAGGCCCAGAGCAGCCGGATCAGAGCAGCCAGGCCCAGAGCAGCAGCAGCAAGGCCAGGAGAGGCCAGGCCCGAAGCAGCCGGGCCCAGAGCAGCCGGGTCGGGAGCAGCCAGGCCCGGAGCAGCAGCTGCCAGGCCCAGAGCAGCCGGGTCAGGAGCAATCAGGCCCAGAGTGGCCGGGCCCGGAGCAGCCGGGTCGGGAGCAGCCAGGCGGGGAGCAGCAGCTGCCAGGCCGAGAGCGGCGAGGACAGGAGCAGCTGGGCCCAGATCAACCAGGCCCGGAATAGCCGGGCACAGAACAGCCAGGTCGGGAGCAGCCAGGCCCGGAGCAGCAGCATCCAGGCCCGAAGCAGCAGCGACCAGACCTGGAGCAGCTGGTTGTGGAGCAGACCAGAGCAACAGAGGCCAGGCCCGGAGTAGCCGGGCCCAGAACAGCTCGCTCTTCACCTGCCCATGCCCCAGGGCTGCTTCTAAGACATGGCTGGAAACTTTTGGGGAAACTTGAGGGTTTGCTGAATCAAGTGATGAAGGCTTAGATCTGGATGTGTTGAGTTATTGTAGCACTGGGGTGTTGATCTGTGAGTGCCTTGTGTGGGGTCTGGATGAGGTTGGTTGATCTATTTGGAAGTGTCTTTTGTGTAAAGTGTATCCTTGGGCATATGGAGGTATTATTGAATTGAGAAAATGCTAAGTAATTGATGTACTACTTGAAAAATTTAAAGTTCTGAAAGTTTAAGGTCTCTTGCCAAAAAGAGGTTTTAAAGCTAACACCTTAATTTTAATGGAGAAAGGGGAGGACAAGCCCTCCCCACCCAGAACAGGTAATCCAATTCCAGCCAGCAACTATCTTTAAACAATGTGATCATTTACATTTGTCCTTTTGATAGCCTAAGAGCAAGTTTACATGTAAACAAGTTTGCTTCTCAGTTCCCAGGGCAGAAAAAACAAGGTTTAAATTATTAGATTTCAAAATTTATTCTTAAAAATATAAAAGTTTATTAATTAAAAAAAAAAGGAAATTAAAAAAACTGATGAACAATATTAACTGTTGATTATAATAGAATCAGAGATAAGGGAGGGGAGTGGACTGACAATTCTCAGGGAAAAGGGGAGTGGTGGATGGGGGAAGAGACTGAACATAAACTATGCACCTATGGATGAGGACAATAGGGGGTGGGGAAAGGGCAGAAGGTGGGGTGGGAACCCAGTGGAGGGGGGAAGAAATGAGGAACCTTTGTAATAATATGAACAATAAAGATTGATTTTAAAAAATAAATAAAATTGCATTAAAGAAAAAAAAAAAAGAAAGAAAGAAACACCCATCAGAAAGGATATATGCACCCTTATGTTCATAGCACAATTCACCATAGCTAATATTTGGAAACAGCCTAAGTGCCCATCAGCAGATGAGTGTATTAAAAAACTGTGTTACATCTGCACAATGGAATACTACACTGCTGTAAAAAAGAAGGAACTCTTATCATTTACAACAGTATGGATGGAACTGGAAAGCATTATGCTAAGGAAATAAGCCAGTCGGAGAAAGATAAATATCACATGAACTCATCATTTGTGGAATATAATAAACAACATAAACTGATAAACAAAAAATAGATCCAGAGACAGAAGTATAGAACAGACCAAACTCAGAGGGAAGGCAGAGGTGAGGGGGACAGTAAGAGATCGACCAAAGAACTTATATGTATGCATATAAGCATAACCCGTGGACACAAACAGTAGGAAGGTGAAGGCATGTGCTGGGGGGTGGGAACGGCTAGGGAGAAGTCAATGGGGGAAAAAGAGACATATGTAGTAATTTAAACAAAAAAGAATTTAAATTTTTTAAAAAATCTATGTGTCTGTATTCTGCTATAAGACCTCCCTATTGATGGATATCTATACTAATAATAGAGAATATGCAGATTGTCTGGGATACTATCACAGTAACAGTAACGACCGAACAGCAGACTGTGTGGGGCAACCAGGCCAGCAAGGAGGGGTTAGTGAGGGACGACCAAACAAATGAACAGCAGGCTGCGTGGGGCAATCAGGCAGGCTGGCAGGGGGGTTAGTTGAGGGCATCCAGGCCAGCAGGGGGGTGGGGGCAGTTGGGGCGATCAGGTCAGCAGGCAGAGGCAGTTAGGGGTGATCAGGCTGGCAGAGGGGGTAGTTAGGGGCAATAGGGGTAATCAGGCAAGCAGGCAAGTGAGTAGTTAGGAGTCAGCTGTCCCAGATTGTGAGAGGGATGTCTGACTGCTAGTTTACAGCAGTTGAACATCCCCCAAGGGTCCCAGATTGTAGAGGGTGCACGCTGGGCTGAGGGGAACCCTCCCCTGTACACAAATTTTGTACACCAGGCCTCTTGTAAATAATAAGCACACATTTTGCAAAATACATTGAAGAGGAAGAGGAGGAGGACTCCTGTGATTCCTGGTCTAACCACATTCCATTCCCACAACATTCTCAGATACATAAAACATCAAATAGTGAGGATGCACAGAAATACTTTTCAAGTGAGGATCATGTGGAATACCTTTGTAAATTACTAACAGGTTGAATCAGAAGTACAATTCCATGGTTCTGTTCTACATGGTATGACAGCTCCTTTTGCAAGTCAAACTCTGCCTTTCTACCATATACTGCAAAGAATCCCTCTAAGAGCTCCTAGTCTTAATTAACTATGTTCACACATCTAACTAGCAAACTTGAGAACATTACGATTCTAGGTTTATTTCACTGTTGAATGGGCAAGCTGAAATGTCTGCCATTTTGGAAAATTTAGTTTCAGCCAGTAATAGTTAAGCTGGCTAAAAATTAGATGAGTGTTATTTTGATGCCTAAATCATTCATCCATTCATTCTATTGTTGGAACTCTTAGGTGATACAGATAAACCCTCAGTATTCTACCAGAGAGTATCACTTACCGATGTACATATCCCATCAGATGAACGCTGTGAACAGCCAAAATCAGTTCGGCAAGGTAAAACTGAATCATGTTTTCATCCAATTGGTCCTCATATCTGTTCAAAAGTGACAGCAAGTCTCCTCCAGGCTGATATTCCATGACCTGTATAGAATGCCAAAGCTATTAATTCTTCATACACACACACACACACACACACACACACAAAAAAGGGAGTGTCTCAATTAGATCCTCAAATCCTGCCTGACATGTTCTAATTACGATGTCTCCACAAAGTAATGAAAATTGCGAGACATATTATAAGTCATGTAGAATGAGGTCCCCGCCCTAAGGAAATGGCATCTGTTCTCCAAGAGGATCAATAAAATGAAAGACTAGTACCAGACACCATGCACAATCTTTGCAAGGCAAGCTTGAAAGTTGAATTAAGTCCTCCAACTTGCCCACCCACTGACACCAACAGGCATTCCCGAAGGTGAGTACAGAGCATCAATGGAAGTTCCTGGAGGACAACAAACCTCTTGCACCCCTTCTGCATTCCCCTCAGCACCCAGCAGAATACAGCACGCGTGCAATAAATGTGGTACAATCTTTGCCTTTAACCGTCAGTCAGGGTGGAAGACAGTCTGACTCTCTATTAAATATTTAAATGTGAACATATACTCTTTGGTTTCATAATTCCACTTCTGACTATTTTACAGGAACTTGTAATAGTTTGTAGATAGGTAAACAGATTCACTGCAGCGCTGTTTGTAACACAGAAGGAAAAAACCTGGAAATCTCCCAAGTACCCATCAGTAAGAGACTGCTAAAATGTGATCCATCTAAACAGAGGGATAAGACGCAGCTATGAAAAATGAATGGACTCTAACTATTCACACTGCCATGGAAAGCTGTCCACAGTAAAACAGAGTGGCATCCTATGCAGGGTAGAGTACAGCTCCTTTGTTGTGAATTTAAAAAACAACAGAAAATTATTACATTTGTTAGTATATATACGGGGCCAGGAGGGGAGAGGGGAGGGGGGTTTGGTTAGTGCCTTGGCTGGTGTTTCTTAGTGGTTAGAACATTGGCCCACACACCGAAGGGTTGAGGGTTCAATTTCCAGTCAAGGGAACGTACCAGGGTTGCAGATTCAAGCCCTGGTCCTGGTCAGTCACATGCAGAAGGCAACCAATAAATGTATTTCTCTCACATTGATTTTTTTTTCCTCTTTTTTTTTTTTCTCTCTCTCTCTCTCCCCGTCACCCTCTCCTTTCCACCCTAAACATCAATGGAAAAATATCCTTAGGTGAGGATTAACAAGACAAACAAAAATATTTGATTAGCAAAAAACTTTGCCCACACCAGGAACCCTCTCAGTACAAAGCCTGGCACCAACAAGGTCCTCCACATCGTTCACATTGTTCACATCCTTTCCCTCTGTAAAGTGAATTTTCTCCATCCTCCTCCAAACTCCTGTTTGCTTTTAGTCCAGAATTAGAAGAAAGCTCTAGTCAAGCCAAACATGGAGCGCTGGCACATATCCCCAGAGGCCCCAGGCTAGTCAAGTAAAGGCTCTGCCCCACACCAAGCCAGCCCCAGGCCAGAGGCCCCTGAAAGGAATCAGCGTGTCCTTCCGGAGGGCTCCACATCACCTGGGGGCCTCCCCATTCACATGGCATCATACACATGGCAGATGCTCAGCCAGAAACTGGACAATTTGAAGAGTAAGGTTCCATTTGATTTGATCTATGAATTAACAAGAACAGCAACACTTAGAGGGGGCAGCAGCTAAAATGTAGACTTCATGTCCCCCAAATTCACAGCAGACATAAGTTACTTGTCCCTGTGCTAAAGGAGCCCACAGAAGCCACCTAGCTGCCTATAGCTCACCCACTAACCCCAACCTTGTTCTCTATAGACTCTGGTATGTGGGTAAATGAATGCTAATTTTGATGTCTGTTTTACATATACACTGAGTGGCCAGATTATTATGATCTCTGAACGCATAATAATCTGGCCACTCAGTGTATCTCCTATATAATAAAAGGCTAATATGCAAATTGTCCCCTCGACCAGGAATTCAACCAGCAGGCAGGCCAGCCAACCGTCCCCCTCCCCGTGGCCAGGCTGGAATTCATGTACCAGAGGGCTCCTCAAACCTGCCTGCCCACCATAATATATATACTGTGTAAATAAATAAATATATATATATATGTACACACACACACATAAACACACATTCATTCACTCTCTCTCTCTCTCTCTCTCTCTCTCTCTCTCTCTCTCTTTCTCTGAGTGGCCAGATTATTATGTTGTCAGAGATCATAATAATCTGGCCACTCAGTGTATATTACCATCAAAAAGGTCTTAAACATCCCCCCAAAATTCACAGATAACACTAGTAGTCACACTTTTAGAATGGAAATGTCTTAAAATAAGAACAATGCATATTTATGACCACACGTAGCAGTTATAAATTTTCTATCTGGCTCTATTAAAGATGTGAAAATAGAACAGCTTTTAAGTTTAAGGATGAGAAAGTCAATGCATAGCAGCCACTGACAACTTCTAAGGACTCACAAATTGACCACTATTTTGTACTTAGCAGCTACTCCTGAAGAGTCCATTTGTAATAATCAGTAAAACAGTTTAGAAAATAAGAACCATCTCTTAGAAAGGCAAAAAAGATATGCATTGTTCAAAAAAAATAAAGTTTCCTGAGCTAGAATCTCTACCCAAACTAAATTTGTCTTTTTTTTTAAATATATTTTATTGATTTTTGTATAGAGAGGAAGGGAGAGAGATAGAGAGTTAGAAACATTGATGAGAGAGAATCATCGATCAGTTGCCTCTTGCACACCCCCTACTTCGGATATGCCCGCAACCAAGGTACATGACCTTGACCGGAATCGAACCTGGGTCCCTTCAATCCCCAAGCCGATGCTCTATCCATTGAGCTAAACCGGTTTCGGCTGTCTTTTCTACAACTGAAACAAAGTTTTATTTCTTCAAAACCAGGGCTGATTGAGAAGACAAGCAACAAAAATTACAATAGCTTCTAGGCAGCATGCTCCACAACATGAGACCAAAGAGACAAACGAAATTACAAACCTACCTAAATAGACTGGGTACTTATCAAAGAAGCTAATCAAACTTGATCGACCAATGTAATTCCAGAGTACCATACAAAAATCCCAACTGGGCACCATTAGGAGACCTTAGCTTGGCTATTTATTGAGTAGATTTGGCTATCCCAAGAAGTTACCATATCCTAAACCTATCCTACTGGGGTAGTTGTTCATCTGGTCTGAATGGAGCCCGTGGGGAAGATGGCTTGGATGGAGCCAATCCAAGCTTAGTCAATCATCTTGCTGTTGAGCTTAGAGATGCAATAAAGGACCAGGACTCAGGCACTTTCAGAAAACACATTTGGGCTTTTTAAAATGGTACCAAATCAAGAGGCTCCAAAAGCATCATCGTAAGTCAAAAACTAAGAGCCCAAGCCACTTTGGATCAGTGGATAGAGCATCAGTCTGCAAACTGAAAGGTTCCAGGTTCAATTCTGGTCAAAGGCACATACCTCGGAAGCTCAGTTCCCAGCCCTTGTCAGGGCAAGTGGAGGAAGCAACCAGTCCATATTTCCCTCTCTGTCTCTCCCCCTCCCTTCCACTCTCTCTAAAAAATCAATGGCAAAATATCCTCGGGGAGGATTAACAACAACAAAAGAGAATAAAATTGACATTCCTAAAAAAAAAAGTCACAAACTAAGAGTCTTTAAGAGCAGCATCAACAGAACACTATCAACAAACTAAGGCTAAAGTTACCACCCAGACTGTTCCAGACTGATCATTCACAGCACTTGGTTTTACTATCCAGTGGTGCCCAGTGAGATGTTGGTCCCCCCAAAATATGGTTTCTAGCCTACTTAGACTGGTAAGACCTTTGGGCAGAGCTCTTCAAACCTGCCTGCCCACCAGAATCACTTGGGTAAGTAAGCACTATTTTAAAATAGATAAAATATACTCATCCAAATAAATATGTGAGTGCCTACTATGTGCTAGACACTGTTTTAGATATTGGGAAAACAGCTATCTTCATGGAGCTGGAATTCTAATGGAATGAAAAAAATTTCTTTTTAATTAAGAAGCATGAAAGGGTAAAGTATGTCTCTTCTCATCCTAACCATTCAGGATCTTGTTAAAAATGTGGGTTCCTGCCGAAAACGGTTTGGCTCAGTGGATAGAGTGTCAGCCTGGGGACTGAAGGGTCCCGGGTTCGATTCCGATCAAGGACATGTACCTTGGTTGCAGGCACATCCCCAGTGGGGGGGTGGGGGGGTGGGAGAGGGTGCAGGAAGCAGCTGATCGATGATTCTCTCTCATCGATGTTTCTAACTCTTTATCCCTCTCTCTTCCTCTCTGTAAAAAAATCAATAAAATATATTTTTAAAAATAAGTAAATAAAAATGTGAGTTCCAGGGATCAACTCAGACTTCATAGTCAAGCTCCATGGGTGGGGCTCAGGGACTTGAATTTTAGGGCGCTACCAGATGATTCTGATGCAGCCAGCCCAGCACTGTGGTGGAGCACCGAGGCTCCCTATTCCAACCAGTTGAAAAGTTTCCACAGCAAAGGTGCCCTTGTACGAAACTTGGCCTCATACAACTATCACTTCTGTTGTGTACATTTTTTTTCCAATGGCTACCTGGAGCCTTTCTGCAAATCAAGACAAGATCACTGACAACAAAGGGCCGGAAAATAACCAGGCTGTCAGCACTGAAGCTACAATCCCCCATCTATGCAAGGACAAGAGCTTTCCCTGCACACGCTGAACAGCTGCAGGTCACCCAAATGGCGAGTGCCAAGGCATGGTAATCAAAGGCCGGGAAGTGGGAGGAGGAAAGAGCCCTGCAGTGAAACAGCCCTAAATAGTGTGACAACCCTGCGGATGGCACAGAAAGCACAGCAGCTGACAGACGAGCCAGGCTTGGAGCTATAATGGACTTGCTCTTTTAAAGCAAAGACATTCAGGCCAACAGAGACAGACCCTTCTGATGGCAGCCGCTATAGATGCTAATTAAAGGGAACATCTTACATGCTTCTCTGTTGGTGTTTGCGTCCAAACCCCCAAGTACAAGGATGGCAATTCCCATCAGCTGT